TCTCTCTCTCTCTCTCTCTCTCTCTCTCTCTCTCTCTCTCTCTCTCTCTCTCTCTCTCTCTCTCTCTCTCTCTCTCTCTCTCGTCTGTGCACCAAACATGAGTGTCCTGGGGCTCTGCTGGGGAGAACCTGTCCGTTTCATAATGTTTCACTTGTCCAGGAACTCTGTGGATGACCTGCCACAGTAAGAGCAGTGTGTCTGGGTCTTCCACACACTCTTGTTGTTCTATCTCCACCTTGAGCAGGCCACTGCTGGATCTCTTGATGTGGCATTAGCACTAAAGATCCATGGACGGGAGGGGAGCAAGTCTTGTGCAGACTAGGAGGTGCTGGTGGCCTCCAAGGAGGTGCCACCACCTGCCTCGAATATACTGTAACTGGGAAAGAAGGAGTGAATAAGGGGGTTCAATGTGAGGAGGTGTGGGAAAACAAGTGGAAAGCACAGGGTGAATGAGCACAAGGATGAAGGTTGCAGTAGAGCTACAGGACAGGAGCAAGATCTTGTGAGACAGCCAAGCCATGAACTGCAGACAATGTGAAGCAGTAACTGAACAAGTGAGTTATTTGGTCGAGGCAGATGACTGACCTTTCTTCCCCTGTCAAGTCAGGCGCTGGGTGCAGTACTGTGCTTCGCAGCACAATGCAATGGTTGTTTGGATCATGTCCATGAATTCACCTCCGCTGACGTTTGGACGTTGGTACTAAAATATTTTTCCCTTATGCATGATCTGCAAAGCGATTCTGCATCTCTATCATTCATCCACAATCGCTGCTGTTCCCGGACAAGGATATTTTATTACTTTGTTGCGATTTATGACGCGGCACCATCTTACATCCATTGCACGGCACTAAGTTGGTCTTTTCGCTCCTGCTTGCTGACGTTTCTGAACAGAGGTATTTTGTTGCAATTCGTGACGTGGCACCACCGTACATCCACTACGCTGGACACTAAATTTCTCTTTCCTCTGCTGTTTTGCTGATGTTTTCGTACAGGTCTATTTTGTTGAGATTAACGGTGAATGGAGACAGCCAGCTCAATGGATGGTTTACATATGTTGTGCTGACACTTTTCATCATGACCGCTGCTTTTTGGGTAAGTGGGCTAGCAGTTTAGCTACAAACAGAACGCGTACATTTCAGTAAGGTGAACTTGTACATGTATCGAATTTGACACACAAAACAAAGGGCCGAAGGCCAGAGCACGTTCTCGCATATACTGAAAATTTATTTGAGCCTAGACAACCGAACTCACGTTGGGTTGATGCTAATTTTGTGGTCGGGATCTTCGTAGATGGCCGAAACTCCTGTGAACTCCTGGATGATGCATCTTTGATGAAGGAAATAGCCGCTCTCTTTTTTTGTTTTTTTTTTTGTTTTAACTAAGCTATATTTTTCTTTCAATTATATAATATATTCCTTACGCTACCCACCTACCTATATGTCTTAGCACCAGCCTCCACCCATGTCTAAGCATCGTGGGGAAACCTTACTGCACTAGGGTTGGGCCTAACGCCCGGCGAGGGATGGAAGTGACGAGCACCCCTACCAAGACCAACCAGGGGGGGCAAGCCGAGTATCTCAGGTGGTGAACCTGCAACGCGCCGCAACAGGCCGTGGGGTTTCGAATGTTGGGGAATCGAACCCGCGACCTCCTGAATGCTGCTTTTGTGCTCTACCAACTGAGCTAGGCCGCAGGAAATAGTCGTTCTATTCTATATGGATCATCATTCCATTGCTTTTTTCTTTTTTTTTCTGAAACCTTTGGAAATTGGAACAAAAGCCCGAATCTCAACAGATTGTGACGACAAGTCCACGGTACTGCTCACAACACCCCGCTCCCTAAAGTATTGGACCGTTTGGTCTGTTTCTCAATTTATGAATGTAATCCTTGTGCAGGGGCCATGCTAATCTTCTCTGTATCGTTCCAATTCCAAGGGATGTCCCAAAGGACAGGATCCTCATTCTACTTTATATGGATCGTCATGAGGGAATACAGGGACTCTGGGCCTCGTTCCCACTACTCACTAGATGCAGAAAAGTCAAAAAAATATGGTGGCATATCTTTCCATGTTCTGAGGGAAGATTCATTCTCATTTTGCACAATTGGTGCATATTGGAGCGTGGCCCTTTCTCCGATAAAAAAAAAATCCTTACTATCCTTAAAAGATAAATGGTCAGTTGTCCGCTCCCCTCTGACCACCGTCTGTCTGCAGAATTTTATCAAATCCACGAGCCAGAAACCACCAGTTTGAATGCACAGCCATTGCCAACAGTTTTTTTTTGTTTTGAACGACATTATATTTTCCATGGGCCGCCAGCGGAACTTGTGTAAAAAAGTCACTTGATTCAGCTTCATGAGCAATCTCCCAGAATCAACCGGTGCCACTGATCATTGCATTGCTGTTCTAGTTTCCATGGTATGGGAGTTGAATCTTCCCTTTTTTTTCTTTTTTTTTTAAAAAGCGCGATGGCCTTGAGATATCATCATCGAACTGACCGGCCCTAGGCATTTCAAAATTGTAGTATTTCACTCCTCTGCTTCCAGTGGAGTTAGAACCGGGTCCGTATTTCAACAGTGCAGGGATGTACCAACTGACCTAGGCCAGTTGGTGGGATTCAAATCTTTCTCTCTTCTTGCGTATATCCTTGAGCGAGCACCTTAAGTATCATGGACCGGCAATACTTGCCGGTCTTCTTCCATTCTTGTCCTACTGACTTATTTTGGAAAGTAACGAACCCCCATTTGGTTGTGTGAAGCGAAGAGCGCGCTTTTGGCCTTTACCGGGGAGAGCTCATCCATCATACCTGATGCTCGAACAGTGCTAGCAAGGAAAAGGAAACCCTACAGGTTGGATTGCTCGTGTTTCCCAAGGACAAATTATTTTTGAAATGGATGGTGTTAGTTTAGATTCAGTGCCATTCCTTTAACACCACTGGAAAATTCGACCATTTCTCCAGCTTGAATCTTGTTCAATCCATAAACACGTGCAATTGCATCTCCTGTTTTTTTTTGCTAATTTATTATTGGCTAGTTCCCATTATTTGGAACTTAGAAGTTGGTAGAAAATTTATTCTCCTCTGTTTTGAATTTTTCTTTTTGAATTTTTATTCTCTGCTGTTTTTTTAAGAAGAGGTAGAACAGTACCAACTGGCCTAGCTCAGGGCATTACTCACACTAGCACGCGTTTTCATAAAATCGTAAATTGTAGGTGATTTTTTGGGTCACAAAGGCTACGTAATTTCCGTTTTCACGCAAATGGGCACGTAAATGTCAGCGGCTTGGACTGCCGCGGGGTTACGTATTTTGTGGGAACCTCTGGAGGTCCCCGCAATTGCGTATTTCTTTTAGACCTGTTTCTTTCTGGAAAAAAAAAAGTATTCGACATTTGGTGGGAAGCTCTCGTAAGAAAAAAAAAACAAAACTAGTCTACCAGCCGAGCCGCCCGGGTCACCCTATTTTCCTGGACGGCCCGGCCCTGCGAGGACCAGGGAAGGTGCTAGCAAAAAAAAAAAAAAATACAAAAAAAAATCCGGAAAAGAAGTTTTAAAACTGTGTTATGGAGAAAAATAAACTGAACAACTTTGGCCTCAGGGTCACATCCCAATTCTTTACCAAATTTAAAATAAAAAATAAGTTAAAATATGCCCACCTCTGGGTATCAGTTGTTGTGCAGTCGTTGATGCTTAACCACAGCCGGGGTTAAGGTGGATTATCACTTACAGTGTAATCAGCTAGGGGATTCTGCAGACTGTTGAGGGTTCAGCCTCCTGATGAGTCGGTGAAACTCCGACGAAACAGTTTGCCACAGCCCCTCGTTTGTTGTCCTCTTCTCCCTCTCTGCCTATGGTTTACCGGGCAGCTCTGTTTGACTACATGATATACATATATAACCTACATCCACGTGGGCGGCCTTGTATGCAAGAGGTTCTGAACAGGGGGAGTTATAAGGAAGAAGATAAAAAAACTGAATTCATTTTTTCCTGTTTTTCTTTTTTTCGCATTTGCGCTCTGATATTTATGTGATGATATATTTGTTTTTAACTTTTTATTATTTTTTATTATTATTTTTTTTCCCCTTTTTGGCCCGGCCAGGCAAGTGGCCCTAGGCCACTCTGGTAGCCTTAAAAAAACAGGAAAAAAGGAAAAAAGGATGGATTTTTATGCACCGTGCTGTGTGACCCCTCGGCCCGTATAATCGCATTCCTAGAGCAGGTTGAGTCTGTGTCCTTCCTGTTTTGTGACCTATACGGGTGTGCTGTGTGACTGGGAAGTGCCGTATAATCGCAAATTGGCTCGCATAAAATTTGCGATTGTACGTGCTAGTGTGAGTATGCCCTCAGTTGGTACACCCCTGAACTGTTGAAATACAGACCTGAGTTTGAACTTCACCCGAAGCAGATGAAGCGGATGAGTAAGATACTGCAAATTTGAATTACCAAGGGCCGGTCAGTTCCAATGCTGACATCTCAAGGCTGCTGCCCTTTCAAAAAAGGAAAGAAGGGGTAGAACAGTGCTAGCAGAAATTAGTAAATTTGTTCTTCTAGTTTCTTTTCTTCAAGCACCAGAACATGGGCACCTTGGCCACGGGCCTGACACCTCGAATTCTGGAAGCGCGAAACAAAAATGCGACCACTGATCCAGGTTATCAATGGCAGGCCCAGTGTTTGAAGTTTCGGCCTCTTTTTCTTGTGGCAACAAGTTTCGGACTACAAGGCTGGGGCCGTGTACTAGTGGTTTAAGGAAGGGGATATCACGAGGCAGATGTGCAACATGCATTGGACCACTTACTTCGTCACTCCATGCACATGCACAATGAGAGTTCACCCGAAATCCACACTGGAGACCAGCGATGCAGAGTCCAAATTAGCGCAGCTTAGAAATTCCAATCAATTGTCATATTAAACAGTTTCAGAGTTCCGGTCACCAAGCACGCTCAACAGTGCAGAGCTCAGCAAACCATAACCAGCATCTTCTACCAGGTTGGTGACTCTCTCCTCTCTCCTGTCTCACTTCTCTCTCTCTCTCTGTTCAAGCATGTGTCCACTCTCTCCCTCTCCCTCTCTACATGAAGATCTTGACTCTGGATACATCCGCCTGCTACCCGACTCTACTCCTACTACTATGCTGTGCGGCTATGGCCGCCTTCCTTCCACAGCGCAGCACTGCCCAGCCATGGCTCTAGCGCTTGCCAACTCGCAGTTAGCGCACAAGCGCTCAGCAGCACTTCACACTTCTCGCGAATGTGCAATCTGTGTGGCTGGCCAGTTCCTATATTGACTTGGACTGGACCTTGAGTCGTCCCAGCCTCTGCTTCTCATGGCTTGACTTGGACCCGGTACCGGCTACCCGCGGCCTGTTTGCTTTCAAAATGCTGAGGCCCGGTACCTCTCTGAGTTTTCCTTGGTGTGCTGCTGCTTTTTGGTCTGTGGGACGTGACCTTTTGACTGTGGGACGTGACCTTTTGACTGTGGGACGTGACCCTTGCCTTTGGGTTGTGACTCTTGACTGTAGGACGTGACTTTTGCCTGTGGGATGTGACTTTCGACTGGGTAACGGTTGGACTTGACCTCTGGGGTACCCGGCTTACCTTCCTGAATCTGGCCGACCCGACCACTTTTGACTTGGGGACCGACCACTTTTGACTTGGGGACTTTTGACCCTGAAATCGGGATTTGGGGGCTGTATCGTGAAATCCCTTTCAAACATATGGGTGTAAAGCTGTAAACAAATTATGCCTTCCTTTTGCTGGATGTCGTTACTATCGTAAACGTCTAAAACACTAATACGTTGATCAATGTGTTTGCACGTTTGGTGGATGATGAATACCAAACTGCCAAGGCTTGATTGTTCCTCTTTTCCGATGACGAAAAGAAGTTGTGTAATAAAAGGGTTTCGGGTCACCGATGGTGCTTTCCATGGCCCGGTGTTTTTTTTCTTTTAAACCACCACTACCTTAGCCAGTGTTGGGAAAAACGGGAATACACGACACACCGCATTTTTCGGGGGTCGGGTAGAGGCTTGGCGAGAAGAAAATTTTTGGGCCTTGTGGGCCCGCGTGAAAAGCGAAAAAAAACAAACAAGCAGCTGCATATTTGAAAGGAAGGGCGTCGGGGGGTAAGCCGTGAGGGAAGTGTGCACACAATGGTGCTTCGAGGAATGCATCTGCCCATAATACTGTCTTGTTTCGTATTTTGTTATTTTTTATTTTGTTTTTCTTCTCAGCTCGTTATAGTGCCCTGCCAACGAGGCAGGGTGTTTTCCATGGACAGCTGACAAATGGAAACGAAAGGGGAAAAAACAAAAAGAAGACGTGCACAGTTGAAAGGAAGGRSGTTGGGGGGGGGGGGGRGGGAAGCTCACATTTGTGCTTCCATGAATACATCTGCCCATAATATTGGCTTGTTTTGCATTCTGTTTTTTTTTTTGTTTTCCTCTTCTCAGTTCGTTTCACTGCCCTGCCAACGAGGCAGGGCACTTTCCACGGACAGTTGACGCTTGCAACAGAGGGGGGGTCCAATCTCACATGTATTCAAGATTGTGTATCCAGCTGTTTTCGCTTCCAAGGAGTAGTTTCGTAACTTTCGTTCTGTTCTTTTTTTCTTTTTTGTTTTTCATAGAGCCGTTTTCTGCTGACGCCTGTAATGCCCTCCAGCTGCTTTCACGTCCCCAGCATATTAGTTGGGTTTTCCCTTTTTTTTTTTCTTTTTTTTTTTTCAAAACAATTCAGCCCCTTCTATTCTGGGGGGGGGGATCAGTCCGGTTGCTTATCACCGGCAAGCATGGGTTCCAAAGTACAAATTATTTGTAGGAAAAGAGGAAAGCCTTACCCTTGTGGCCCTAGACGCCTAACAAGGGGGGGATTGCTACAACCTATCCCTCTTCCCATACCATAGCCTCCCCAGGGATACCTCTGTTGGTCGGGAAGCTTCCGAGCAGCACCCAGCCACACAACAGATGGGTCCCCAGGGAAGTCCTGGCCCGGGGGGGGGCGTTCTAGCAGTCTCACGGGCCTCACATCCTGTCAGTCACACCCTCTGTTCAACCGTCTTTTTTGTACCTACTAACACTCTTTTACTCTAGATCCTTCCTTATCCCACCTTCCTATTGAATCCTCAAGTCTCGTCTAATTTTTACACCAATCTCCTTTGTCCATTCTATCAGTAACACCCTCTGTGTTCAATCCTCTTTTTTATAACTACTACACTCTTTTAGTCTAGTTAATACTACTTAATAGTAATGGGTTTTCCCTTTCATGAGTTTTATTTCGTTTTTGTTCTTTTCTTTTTTCCCCTTTTCCACGGAGTACCAGAAAAGAAAATACTATGGGACCAGGGTTGCATCCCCGCCGACCGGTCGGGCCGACCGCCGACCGTATTGTACCAACCGATCGGGGCCAACCGGTCGGCGGTAGCCTACGGCTCAGAAAACAGTCTTCCTCTGATTTTTTTTTTTGTTTTGACTTCGGGGCTGTACTGCGCTTGCTGAGTACAGCCCAAATCCGCTGAGAAACTTTGGTTTCGGGGTGGGTGGGTGGGTGGGGGGGGGTTGGAGCATACCT